CTGCTCAAGGCAAATAACTGATGGTATTCATTGCTGATGATAAAATTGGCAATAGATCAAGTGAAAATTTGATTTTTAGAAAACCAGCATTCAGTACTGTGAGCTTGATGGTTTCTCAATATTTGAGGAATTTTCCTGGTAAAATTGGTGATATTAACTGATGTGATTTTTTTTTAGCCTGCATAATGAAATATGTCAACATTTGGAAGACTTGCACAGCAGAGTGAATCAATATTTTCCAAATAAACAATTCATGATGTTACAAAATTATGCATAGAGGGAATATTCGCTCAAATTGCAAGGTAGACCAATAGATTTTAATGTAACTGAGAAATGCAGAGATATGTTTTCAGATTATTCATAAAAACCAACTGTTGAAAAGTGCTAGCATTTGTTAGGTTCTGGTACGGTATCAAGAGTATTCACAGCCACATAAAAGGATTTCAGTTCTCCCCTTTCCAACAATTTATCTGTATGAGACTAGATTTTCTTTATTTGCTTCAGCTGAAACAGCATAGTTCTAATATTGAACGCAGAAACAAATATAGATTCTGGCTTCCTTCTATTAAGGCAGGCAGTAAAGCCAGTTGGAAAAACTTTTGTAAAAACAGTGCCTCTTTTCTTACTGTTCTCTTTATTTTTTTAGAAAATACTGCTTTTATAATTACACTTATTTTGACATGTAATGGGATTTTTAAAAAATTATTTATATGTATTTATTTATTTGGTACAGGGTCTCACTACGCAGCTCAGACTCATAGTGATCCTTCTGTCTCAGCCTCCCCAGTGCTGGGATCACAGGTATGCACCACCATGCCTGGTTTTGGTGGCTGGCATGGCACATCCAAGGATTGAACCCGGGTACCAGGGATTGAACCCAGGGCCTTGCACTTGGCAGGCAGGTGCTTCGAGCGCCACACTATCTCCCCCAGTTCTGTAATGGGATTTTTTAATGATTCAGTAAGTAATATTGGATTATTATCTGGTCTTATGGTAAATGTTAATAGTGATAAATCATATAAAGGAAAGCTTTTGGGGTCTCAGTAGTTTTTAGAAAAGTATTACTGATCAAGTCTGTAGTCGCTGGCAATCATGTGTACAAGAGACTTTAAAGGTTAAAGCATTTCTTATCCCATGGGCTTTTCTGCTGTAGAAGTCTAAATTTTCAGAACATTGTGACAGTATGTTAAGAAACAAACAGATTGGTTAACTTTACAAATATGTCAGACAAGCCCGTCACCTGAGGAATGGATGAAAAAGATGTGGTATTTTTTATACAATGGAGTATTACTCAACTATAAAGAATGATATACTCGAAGCCTTTATATTTAAGTGGATTCCACTTGAAGATATACTCATAACTGAAATAAACCAGACCCATGTGTGTAAATATTGTATAGTCTCCCTCGTATAAGAACTCAAAAGAAGAAATAAAAATAGAAAGGTATAAAACATTTAAAAGAAAAGCGAAAACTTGAGGATTAAATAACAAAGAGAGGCCAAGGAGAAAAGCTAGCAAACATGATGGGGCAAAGCCACACATTTATGCGCACAAGATGGGCAAGGCAATGATCCTGAGAAATATCAGCAGGTTTTTGAAACTAGCAGTTAATTGGTAGGATTCTCACCCTGACTAACTATACATGCTGATACCTGTGAACTAAGCAACTGCCCTGAAGATAGCAATGTGTAATACTAGGGTCATGCTTGGAATGACTGTCATTCTGGTCTTCTAAATACATACTGCTTGTCACGTCATACCAATTACTGCCATACTGTCTCTCAAGTAAATCTTTGTCTTAAAAAAAGGTAATAAATGAAAACAAAAGACAAGAAAAAAATGTTATAGGCTAAGTATAATTGTATTCAAAATATTGGAGGTCAGAGTGATTGCTCACTTTTTAATGTATGAGATTAAATAGGGATAGCCTTTGACTTGCTGACCACTAACTAAATACAGAACGACAAATGGCAGAAATAGGGTATGACATTAAAAATTCTTAACATGGAATTGAGAAGGAAGAGATTCAAATGTTTCAAGCAGTCTGGTAATTCAACCTCAGAGTTAATTTTTAGAAGTGGCTGCGACTCTACAATGCATGCTGCCCCAACATAGTGACATTCGGTTCAGATAAAAGCGAGGCTTTCAGTTGTTTTAGACACAATAATTAAGTTCTGAGTAAGTCTTTTAGAAGACTTTCATTTTAGAAAGTTTTGCAGAGTATTTCAGGGATTCCTTTTCCCACCACCGGTGAATACAGTAATTTTTCCCCCTGACAGCATAACTATCATGCTCATGATTGTAGAATAACTGAAAGATGGCAGTAGGTTTCCTCATGACATGCCCTCCAGGCTCTTTTCTAATTCATATTTTATCTTTAAAAATGTATTTAGTATAGGGTCTACAGGGTCTACAGGGTCTCACTGCGTAGATTGGACTCAAAATGATTCTTCTGTTTTCAGCTTCCCAAGCGCTGGGATTACAGGTGTGTACCACCACACCTAGTCTCAGTCACTGTCTCAGCTTGCCCTGGGGACGGGGCTGGCATGGCAAGATGGGGATCAAACCCTGGCCACAGCACTCTGCCTAAGCAGGCACTTTAATCTGCCGAGCTGTTTGGCCGGCTTCATATTTTATCTCTTATAAACCTGTCTTCTTTGTACATAGAGGCATTCAATTTTCTTCTTGATCATTCTCAGATTAATTTTGTAAGTGAAGGACTTAACTGTGCAACTAATAGCTGTGGCTTGTTACAGTACGACTGTGCTCACTTTATGTCATCCAGTTGGCAGGTGGACTCTTGATAACTCACTGTTCCGGTTAAGGGCTGAGATGCAGAAAATTCATTTCTGGTCTCCACGTACTGGTTGAGGGTTCACTATGCAGAAGGTGCTGTGTCAGGTACAGTAAATATGCATCTGTGCATTTGCTTTTATAGTGAAGAAATAAATGACGAGAATAGGAGATGTGGAAGATACGAAGCCTTTTTCTTTTTTGGTACCCAGGTTTGAACTCTGGACCTTGTGCTTGCCAGACACAAACTTCTGCCGCTGAGCTATATCCCCAGCCCACGGAGCCTTGTTTTCAAAGAATTGTTTCCATGGCTATAAAATTGTTATGAAAACTAAAGACTCTATCTTTTGTTGAAAATCTTACCTGTTTTTGAAAACAGATTAAGGAAGGGAAGAGTTTCAATCATGGAAACATGGACTTTTCCCTCTTGCTGAACACAGTAGGAATGGTGATCCTAAATAGCTGTGAGAGCAGAGTTGAGTGTGATTTCACACTTGCAGCCCGGAGGTCTGGCCGATACTGGTTTTCACGTCAAGAGGCTCAGCCTCTTCTTTCTTGCCTCATCTTGGCAGGCCCTGGCTGGCTTGGATCAGACCTAGGCTATCACACGAGGGAGCTTAGTGCAGCAGTTGGACTTTGACTGCATACATAGGTGCGTTAGAAAGCCAATCTCTCTATGCACCTTCTTGGTTTCAAACCCTGTACTTGTATGGATAAATATTGGCCTTGATGCTGCCTAAGGTACTAATTTGCTGCAATAGTGACATTTCTTCACCCAGAGTTTGGGTGTATAATCTGATCACATTAATGTAAAGCATGTAACAAAGTATTTATTTAAAGGACGTTCGTGATGTGCTGAGATACAGACTTTCTGGCTCTGTTGTTTTTAGCATTGGGATCGAGTGAGGTTACTGTTGGTGCCTGAGAGAGCTCAGTGCCTGAGAGACAGAAAATAACAGAATTGTTGGTAGGATTCATTGTGCTAATGCAATATATATATATATATATATATATATATGTTGTCTGTTATTGTTTTTATTTATGCTAATTAATGAGGTCATAGTCTAAGATTTCAATAAATGGTCAAACTAGAACTACCTTCTTCACCATCTCCCTAACATATCTTTCCATTTCTAGGTTGTCTGTATTGCCCGTATTAACAGTTCTGTAATTAAGTTTTTTTTTTTTTTTTTTCCTGAGGGTGATAGGGACAGTGGTGAGAGATGCATTTCAAATAAATTTCAGTCTTTGAATATCATCACTACCTGCTCCGTTATCTTCCTATATGTGCTGCCGTTGGCAACTGCCAAGGCATGCCTGCTGCTAATTAATCACTTCCACTGAGAACTTAATTAGTGGCTTAATTAGGATCATCCTCGGGTAGCAGGCAGCAGCATCCTGAGCCAGCTGCAAGTTGCTGGCCAGCGCTAGCCAGCCCTTCCGGTCTTGTGGAAACAGACTGGGGGAGACGTGTTGTGCTTCTATTTGTTTGCTCAACGTCCTTAAAGAAGATCACTTGAGATCCCTGGTTGCCTGTGGATGTATTCATAAACTATGACACCATGTGACAATAAGGGAGTAGCTCCATTTCGGATGAAAGCATCAGAAAACCAAGATGGGTTATTGAATTCTTGGAATTGTGACAAACAAGCCGGCAACACATTGTCATTTGCAAGTGTTGAAAAATGAGACCATGCCTTCTGAGTATGACAGAGTATTTCATTTTTCTGCTGAGAGTTAAAGTACTTTCCTTCTGGCATTATTGTTTTGTAATATATAAGTTTTTGAAATATTGCTGTATCATTATGGGATGAAATCAGCACTCCATTTTCTTTCTCTTCCCCCTGCAGGAAAATTTGGGAAAATGAAGCAGAAGTAGTATCTTCCTGCCTTGTCTTCCCTTAGAAGTCGAGGTTATATTAGAAGAGTAAGATGCAATCGGGTTACTTTCAAAACATCATTTCTCTGAGACTTTTTAGATGGCTGATGACTTTGGGACAGTAAACAAAATAGGAGCACTAACGGCTATATTTTATAGAAAGGTGAATCCTTTGAGTCAGTTTCCCGAGTGAGGTCAGGCATTAAGAAACACACCTACTGTCAAACAGCATCCTTGTCACCTTCTTTTGACTGAGGTAGGCTTTCAGATGACAGATAAATTGAAAACTTGGTCAAAGGATCAGTTGAAATATTTTGCATCCCACAGATTTGCTGCTGCTTCCAGGAGAAGTGGAAGAGGACACAGGTGACCACGTTCCTTCTTACATCCCTTCTGTGCCCCAGCCTCATACTGCTGAAGTGAAGCCCAGGCCTGCAATACCAGGAAGAGAGCAAAAGGAAGAGGTACTCATGGGGAACTCAGGCTCCACGTCCTGCCTAGCTGGCTTCGTCTGTCTCTGCAAAGAAGTGTGTTTTTCTTGTTTTGGGAAAAATTAAGGATTCAAAAGGCTTCATTGATTTCTCTCATTTCCATCTATCCCAGAAGAGTGTATTTCTTTTAAGTATAAGGAGCAATTATGCTTATATGTGGAAAATATTTTTTATGGTGTATGCTGTGCTACAGCCACTTTGAGACCATGCAGGAGAAAGAACAGGCAGTTTTCTTAGTGGAGCCTGAACTGGCCATTTCTCTATTATTTCTTTGGTCCTGTATACCTTTTATATTGGCTAAGGTCAGGTCAGACTTTTATGGCAGAGAACCCCAGTAAACGGTCAAGTGCTGAAAGGAAGGAGAAGTTGCATTTAATAGTCTGTAGATTGCTCTTAAAACGGGCATGGCTCTGGTGCCCTGGCATCATTAGGGACCAAGGGTTTCCGCCCTCTGAGTTCCCCCATCCCTGTGACATTGCCTTCATTTGTGTGCTTCAAGTCCGGTCACCCCTTACCTTGAAGGGTGTGGCGTTGGGCGCATAGGGAAGCCTGTCACCACGAGGTGTAGCATGTTTCATAGCTGCTTGCATTCCACTGGCAGCCATCTAGTCACATGTTGTGTTTTTAGCCACAAGGTAGATTGGGTAGTGCCACTTAAGCATGGGCTTCCAAAGCAGGAGAGAATGGAATCTCACACAACTTCACGTGCCCAAATGTACAACTGGAAAGTCACCTTTCACTATTATTTTGCAACTGTACTGTGTATACTGAACAAACATACAGGCTGCTTGTGGTGCTGGCAAGTGACCTTTCTGCCCTCTTATATCTAAAAACTAAATGTGATCAGACACTAGAAGTTGGAAAGGACTCTAATATTGCTTTCTAGTAAAATCCTTAGAGTCTTCCCTGATTAATTGTTCAAGTGCTGGTCTTGAAGATACTCTCTTATAGAATATCAGAAATAATCTGCACATTTCTATATTAAATTGCTAGTTTCCTTATGGTTCTTTTACTCTCTGGCATCACAAAAAGTATAATTGAGGGTGCTTGCAGGCTTTTATTAAACTTACAAATTGGGAGAAAACAAAAAATTTCAAGACAATGCTTTTTCATTGTACCTTTGAATTATCGATGGCTTTTTCTGACTGATAAGCTAAAATTGCAAGATTATTTTTCATAGAAATAATTTTTTTTTTCATTTTGAGAGTTGGTGTCTGTTTTTACCATTAGTTTTGACCACACACATATACACAACAACAGTACCGTTATAGAAAAAATATATATGTATTCTAGGATAATTGTAGTCATTGTTATACAGTGATTTCGGTTAATTTTTTTAAATAAAAAATTAAAAAACAATATTTTTGGGATTTATCCAACAGCCAATGAAATAAAAGTTAAAATTGTGTGTATAATTATATTTTAAAAAGGAATGCAGATTCCTTAACTTCACAGAAAATGTGAACATTATTCATGTTGGGGTCAAAATAACATTTTTGTATTGGCAAACTCATGAACCATCATTGAATATCTTTCTCTTTCTTTTTAGTGATTAACATTTTGCAGATAATTTTTGTTTCTAATCATTATTTATTAGAGAAATTTTTCAGATCTCTGTAGTATCATAGTGCTGCACCAACTCTGCCTTGGCTTAATAGCGTTAATTTTATTTTAAAGCACATAACGTCAGTAAAAGAATAATGTTGTCAGTTTCCAGAAAATACCATTTGAGGGCTCAACAAATGCCCTTCTGAGGCCCGATGGCAATTGCATTCAGTCTAAAAAGATAAAAATGTGTTCTGGTTGCCCTGGCTTCCTCTTAGTTGTCTGTTAAGACTCATCAGCTTTCTAATACGGATTGGGCCTAGTTGATTTCCCCCGTATTTTATTACTGTTTTCATGCATGTACATTTTCCCCTCACTGTTAAATAAGAACCAGCTTACTGTTAAACCAAGAACCCTCTATTTATTATTTGTAAATAATGTTGTGCCTTGTTTACTCTATTTTTTTTGGGGGGGGGGTTAAACAATTACATTAGTGTGCTCTAAAGAAGAATTCACATCAGGAAGTTGAAAAATTGTCCCTCAACCCTCCCTGCAAAACATAGAAGAGGTCTTATTTGAATTTTGAGACATATTTTAATAGATCTTCTGTTTTTCCAATGCGTAATGGGGCTCTAAAACTTTCCAAGTATAAAGACAGTTTATTTACCATGCTATTTTGTATGCTAGCCTGCAGTTGAATGCTGCCATTATTGATCTGAGCATTAGTTCTGTTTTCTTTAATTTGCCTATGTGGTACTATGAATGAAAATGATTCTTCCTTTAACAGTGTCTTTGTTAAAATAAGTCACATGAACCACTTTAAGGAAACTCTAAGTTTTCTAATAGTGTACAAATTCTGCTCCCTGAGAGCCCACAAAAAGATTTCAATTAGACTTGAAATTAGATACCTGAAATCCACATATTTCTTTCAGCTCCTTAGGCAAAAACAAGTTAATAACTTAATTCACAGTTGTTATTCTGTTTAGTAGCAGGGGATTTGCTGTTCTAGTGCAGAAATTCTTCTCAGAAATAAATCAGAATTTCAGTTTGTAGTCGGAAACCTTGGTGTGTTACAGCTTTCAACCCAGAAATGAACCTAACTTGAAAGAAGAGATTCACAGAGTTTGCCACTGCAGCCAGCAGCTGAAATGCAGCCTTGCTGTGTTTTAAAGCTGTCATTTGGAAGGTCACAGTGATATTGTCTGAATTGCAGCGCACACCCAGGCTCACTTCAAATCTCGTATGCATCTCTTGTCTTGGAAGAGTCTAAAGTTGCTCATGCATGTCTTTATAAGCTTACTTAATTCAAATGCAAATCATCAGAACGGGTGCTGGCTTCAATACCATACATACAGTAGATATGCAATAAATATTTATTGAATGAAAAACGTACAAAAGCTCTCCCCACTCATTGGGCATGATTTGCTGATATAATAACATGCTCTGCCGTTTTTCTCTTCTCCCTTGCTTCATTCCCCTTAACATGGAAATGTGTTCAGGCCTCTCTCGTCCTTAACAAAGTAGGACAAAACAAGGAAGAAACACCTTCCTGTTACCTTGGACTTGTGTTTTGTTTTTTCCTTCTTTACTAGGACTTCAGAAGCCCTTTGATTCTCTTTCTTTCTGTTCCTCTTTCAATATATTGCAAAATGCCTTTTGTCACAGTCTCCTGCCTGCATATATTTAGAACGAAGGCCCTCGTTACTTACAATGGGCTCTTCTCGTGGATACTTTCAACTTGTATTTTAATAGATCTCTACCCTGCAATCACTGATCCTAGGTTCACATGCTTGCTTCACACTTGTTTTATTGTTCTCTGATTCTTTTTGCATTTTCCTGGCTGCTTTTGCTTGAATCCTTAGGACTTGCCACCCTATCCTCCCCTGGTGAGTTGGTATCCCCGGGTGCTCCATGCTTGTCCTGCTCTTCTTCCCGCCCTACACACTTGGGTCCATTGTTGTCTTTTGATTACTACCTTCTATGCTTCTGTCTCCATACCTAATTTCAGGTTGTTTTCTGAGTTTCAGGTTTGTATATTCAGTTGTCTGTTAATGTCCACTTTTAGATTCTTTCACATACTTTCAATTCAACCCATTGAAAACTAAGCTTATCTCTGCCTGCTTCCTTTCCCATTGTCATTTTTTTTGGTAAGGGAACAATACCATATAGGACATGTTTTATAAGATTTTATAATCACCCAAAGAATTATATTCGAAGAGTGCAGGAAATCTGTCTACACGAAAGACCAAAGAATCCAGCTGAGGGCCTAGATTTTAATATCTTGCATGAGTCCAGCTCAAAACCTAGAGCCCATAACAATATGCTCTCACACGTCCAGCTGAAGGCCTAGAGTCCATGACAGTGTCTCATGCAGGCCCGCTTCACGGATCTGTGCTGGAAGGGCCCAAAGATCAGTGGTGGAGGCTAGAAAGTCTATGCCAGTGGGATGAAGGATCTGTGCTAGGAGGCTGAGGGATCTGCACTGGAGCTGGGGAGCGGTGCTCAAGGTAAGCACCAGAGCTCCCCATCAAAGTTCCACAGCCATCCTCAGCAACAGTGAGGTCTGAGCTCCTCCAGCGATGAGAAGAGCTGAGTTTCCATCAGGGAAGCCCTTGTGACAGGCTTCTCCCAGAGGCTGAGTCATGCACTGCACCATCTTCCCCTCTGGAGCCAGGAAGCGATGCTCAAGATGAGGCCCAGAGCTCCCTCAAAGTGAAGTGCTGCCATTTTCATCAACAACAAAGCCCGAGCGCCTCCTCTGATGAGAACAGCCAGGTTCATCCAGAAAGCTAACATGACCAGGTCATCCATTAGAATAACCCAAGAGAACTAGCAGCTTCCAACAGCTCCAACAGCTTCTCCAGACAGCTTCCCTAACGGCCTTTACAGCTTCTCTAGTCCTGCCTCTTATGTTGCTGGCAACAATCCTCAGGTGGGCCTCCTACACCCAGCGCCACACGATTTCAATTCAGCTGGGTGTAACGAGTTGACTACCAGTTAGCAATCCGGTACACCCACCTTAACTGCTCCTCTACCACTTCCACATCCAGTCAGTACTGCTAATTTGACTTTGTAAGTGTTTTTCAAATCTTTGCCCTGTTCTCATTATCTCATGCCTGGACTACTTGAGCAGCGTCCTGACTAGTTTTCTGATTGCTGACTTATCCCTCTCAGATCTGCCATCATTTTAATCTTTGGCATGAGCTAGTTAGTTATAAGTAACTCCAAGAGCTCAAGGGCATCTTTGTTTTCTGTACTCCAACATGTGTTTTATTGTAGGTGCTCAGTATAAATTTGAATAAATGAAGGAATTTACCCAAAATGCGTACATGACTGAGAGTCTGCTCTGCTTCAAAAATCTCTTCAGGGACTTTGCATCATCTCTGGGATGAGTTGACACCATTTTCATCTCTGGCTGCTGTTGATACTCTGTCACTCCCGAGCTTCTCTCAGGCTCACAGATTTGAAATTCTGCATCTTATTTCCATGGCCTGCTCAAGTGAAACTCCCGCTATCTGGGAAGCTGCTCTGAGCTTTGCTGACTATTACAGCTTTGAAGGTCCTGCTTGGGCATCACCCCTCTGGCCTTCTCTGGCTCCTTGCTACAGTCCCCCTCTGGCCGGGGTTAAGTAGCCCTTGTTGGTTTCCCTCACGCCTTCACTGTACCATCAGCACCACCACACCTCACTGTAATGATGTGTTTGGATCATTTGCCCGTGATTTCATGCAGCAGTTCATCCTTGTGTCTCTAGCTCTTTGCTCCATGCCTATAATTGGATAGAAACAAGGATCTTGTGAAAAAAGAAGGAAAATTTTTGAATGATTTCAGGGCACCGTTCCTTTGACAAATGAGATTATTATGATTTTCAGTTTCTTACTTTTCTACTTTAGCATTTAACTGATTTCCTAGGAAAATAACCTAGCAATAGCTGCTGTATTTAACAACTCTCAGCTTCTAGGTGAAGAAATTTATAACTGTATTTTTATTCCCTTAAATTTATTATAAGTGAATAATCCTCATTTAGGAATATTTATTAACTTTCTGAAAACCTTGTTGTTTGCTATTGTGGTTAGCACACAGTGAAGACAATCTTGTACTATAATGGAGGATTTAAGTATATAGGAAAACTTAAACCTATGGTTTTTCCACTTTAGAACAAATTTCTGTATCTATGATACCATCAATTTGGGTCTTATGGCCACATATTGGGGCCTCAAAGAATGAGAAGGAAGGTCCAACCTCAGGGTCTCACTACACAGCTCAGACTTGTAGTGATTCTCCTGTTTTCAGCCTCCCAAGGGCTGGGATTACAGGTGTGCACCACCACGCCCAGTCTCAATCACCATCTCAGCATGCCCTCAGGGTGGGGCCAGCACGGCACACTGGGGATTGAACCCTGGTCCCTGTGTCTGCCTAAACAGGCACTTTAGTCTGCTGAGCTATCTGGCTGGCCCATGTGCATTCTTCTCAGAGTGTGTGGAAGCCCAAAATGTGGCTCTTACCTTATCTGAACTGCTGAGGCAAGGTGGATAATAAATGCTGTGATGTGTAGGGGCTGGTAGGAGTTTTTCAAGAGTGTCAGTCAATACTCACTTGAGAGTAAATTAAGCCTCTTTACTTTCCTGTGTTTCCATTCCCCCTTTTGTAGTTCTTTTAGTGGAGAGCATGGGGCATGCTATTGAAATAGCTCATTTCCTTGTATCTTCTTTTATTTAAGTCAGGAGACCCATGGCCACAAATTTTTCGGCTTCCATTTTGCCAGTGTCTAGTGATTGCCGCATGCTTAAGGAGTGGACAAAATGAGAACGGGGCATCGTTCGTGCTGAGTGTGGCGGGCATGGCATGGTGTTGCTGGGATTCGAGCAGGAGGAGTCCGCTAACTGAAGTTACATTCTTGCCTCACTGGGGGGACTGTAGTGAGAATGGCTGACTGGGGAGGATGCCAGGTGGGCTCCGAGGCCTCATGTCAGTAGTGCACGTGGGGTGAGGTGTAAACAGTGCACGAGAGATCGCTGCATAGGCCCCAGGGTAAAGCAACGAGTCTGGATTTACTGCGTCCTTGTGAAATAAATCATGGAAGATGTCAGCCCGGGCCAGAGGGAGGCAGAGTCTTGTATGGGGCTAGGGAAGGAGCTGTTTTCTGAAGCACATTGGGGGTGGGAGGCCAGTAGTCGAGCTTTACAGAACAATCAGAACAGGAGGTGCGGTGTGTAGGTAATGTCAGACTCGGGTGGCGGGAGTGATGACACGTCCTGTCCTGGTCTCTTTATGGCCTTCTGCTCTGTGCACCTAGGACAGCATGGCCCATTTGCAGAGTCCTGTTGTTTGCTGAGAACGACTCAGGCCTGACAGGGTAGATACCCTCTAGCTCCCATGTGCATACTGATGAGTCTTCAGACCAGGACTACAAGGGCAGCGAAATCCCCTCAGCCTGAATGCTCCAGTGGCTGTGGGCTTCTGCATATTTTTCCTGGACCAAGTAGAACTGGCTCAGGGTGGGAGGTGGCCACGTCACCTTGTGGCTTCCTGCTGAGCAGAGCCAGAGATGGCCAAGATGTTCACGTTGAAGAAGTGAATGTCTGGTGTCCTTGTATGTTTTGTCATTGGAGTTCATCTTAGCAATGTTTTTCCTTTGTCACTTTGGCAGTATTGAGAATAAAGTGAATCCCCAAAAGTGATACAGATAGGCAGATTGGTGACTCAATTCTGTAGGCTGGCAGTCGTGGCATTCCATGTGGCCTTGAGGCTGTGGAACTTGTCATCTTATTACAAAGTGGTCTTTTCTCCCCAAGAACTATGACTAGGTTGATTTTTGGTAGCGTTTTCTGAGTAGGACAGCTTTCTCTGAGGTGGATTGCCCTGGGTTCACATGTTGCTGGTCTTGCTTGCTAATGGTGTAGCTGCAGACTCACTCTTAGGCTCTCACAGGAGGAGAAATGACATGAAGAGGGTGTAGGCACTGGCTGGAGAAGTCATTGTTTGAAGATTACCGCTAAAGCCCTTAGGATTCCTGGTACTAGGTTAGGAACACTCTCACCTCAGCTCTTTTCCTACACCCTGCATGCACACAGGTGTTGTCTAACAAAGAAGAAACCACTGCCCCTCTGCAGAATTTGTTCTCTTACTGCTTTTACTGAGAAAGGATGATAGGTGGCTGGGTGTTTGCTATTAGCACGGCACACCTGATGGCAAGACATGACTCGTTCAACAGATACGAGAGATCTACTTTTTACGATTTGTTTTTCACCTTTCGCAACAGCGTATAGTTTCCAAGCAATCGCCTCCATATTTACAAATGTTTTAAAAGCCTCTCAATGTGATCATCTTCCATGCAAGAATATTTAAAACTGATTATAGTTTCAGGGCAGTGTTTTTCATTCTCGCTTAAGCTATAGTTTTCAATTATTTCAGCATCACTATACATATTATAGCTCTGGGTAGAGGTCCTGTGGATGATTTCATTGTGTTACACACCATTTGCTTTTGGAGGGGCTTTTCAGGGGGTGATCTAGTGTGATTTAAGGCATTCTCTTTTTGTTTATTGGAAAATATGCTTTTTATCTATCATGCTTTAGGAAGTCTTGAAAACTCACAAATTTTGAATAAATAGATGCAAAATGATTGCATTTCTTTTTGGCTACTCTGACTTGTATATAAGCTGTAATATATTAAAATATTCCTCATAGGAAAAAAATCCTGGACATTTTAATTCCTATCATTATTGACCAGGCATGATAGGCATTATCTTAAGAAGTATGGTAAGTAGAGCTTATTTTTATCTTTGAAAATTATTTATTAATACAGGTCTCTTTCAGTAAATGGGAAAATATTTTTAAGGTTGATCAAAATCTTAAGGTATGTTTCCCTCACATTTAATGTCACTCCTAATTTTTCCCTACACCTTTGGTCCTGATACTGTAAGTGAACAATGTAATGAATGTGTGCACAAGAGATTTTCTGATTCTTGCCCTGGGCAGAATTCATTAAGGATATTCATTCAGACATAGCATGGTACAAAGGGGCTGGGCATATTAAGGGGTTTAAATTAGATCTAGTTGAATAATTGAAATTTTTTTCTTTACTTAAAAAACAGCTTAATCAGCTGAGAGTGCTGAGATCTAAAAAAAAAGTTTAAATATTAATAGGGGCTTATATTTTCAATTTGATCTTCATTTCCAATGATTTTGTATGCTTCTTTCCTCCCTCGTTACCTTTCATAGGTACTAGGAGATGAAGTTCAGCCCTTTTCGCTTGATGAAGACTTTGATTATGATAACGTGACTCTAACCCCCAAGTTCACTGCTGCAGAGATAGAGACTCTGAAGGAGCTATTGAAGCAAGAGAGAAACACCACCATCGCTGACATATGGGAACCCCACAGCTGACCCACTTGGGCATCTGTGTTTATTTTTATTTTGTTCATATTTTAAACAACATTAGAATAAAAGATAAGCCAACTGTGTTTTTGCTTTGTGAAAATTTATGTGAGTGCATTTTTTTTTTTTTTTTTTTCAGTACGGGGAATTGAACTCAGGACCTTGTGCTTACCAAGCAAGCACTTATTCTTCTGAGCTATCTCCCTACCCTGAGTACATTCATTGATCAGTTACCTATCTTAGGAAAACGGAGCAGTTAATAAAGCTGAAGCTGTCACTTCCCTTTGCTTCCCTTCCTTAGTTTCTCCTGTCATGCGATTGTATCCTGTGATTGATTGGGCAGATAGAAATGGGAATTGGAACCAGACCTAGCACTTACCAAGGGATCCCTTTGATGAAAGCTGCGTAACGTCATGTGAGGAATTGTAATGACGAATTGAAACATGATCCCATCTTCTTGGGCCCAAAGGGAGATTATACATGCAGAATGTACTGTAACACATTGAGTACAATCACCTATAGGAGTAGACAACTGGTCCTGCTTTGTAGGGGTAGCAAATCAATGAGTGTTGAGAGATTAGGTCCTAGGATTGCCTGGGAAGGGCTTTGGTGAAAAAGAAGACACCTGAGAGTTGGTTGTATGTCACATATATAGCTCTTGCAGTTTGTTATTACCACTAAACTGCGTGTGACAGTAGGCTCACAGTCCAAGGAATGTGTCTCTGGAAGCTTAAGATGCAACAGTTTGTAAAGGGAAGACAACTAGAGAAGTAAAACATATTATGACATGCTGTTTATGTAGATGACCCACAAAGGCCTCAAAAGGGCAGGAACGATGGGTAAAGGCCCTAAACAAGGGCCCTGATGCAGTTTTTATTTTGGAAAGAATCAGTAGCAAATCCAATATATTTAATCACAGTGGTTAATTTTATTTTCTCTTTTAAATAGACTTTAATTTTTAGATCAGTTCTAGGTTCCCAGCAGAATGGAAGAAGGTGGATTATTCCCTGCCCCTACTGTCACTCCTCACCTATCAGCCAACCACATCATAACTGTATTCCTTTTCCTCTTCCTTGCCTTTTACTTCCCCCACGATGAGACTACTTTGCATGGAGATCTACCATCTTCAATTTATAAACACATAATACAATGTTGGGAACTATCTACATAATGGTGTAGAGCAGATCGCTAGAATTTATTCAGATAAAGCTTAAACTTCATACTCATTGAGCAGAGGCTCCCCACTTCCTCTCCTTCCCAGTCCCCAGCAACAAGCATATTTCTCTTAGTTCTATGACTGTAACTGTTAGGGACACACTCCAGATATGTGAACATGTAGTATTTCTTTTTCTGTGATCGGTTTATTTCACATAGTGTAACTTCCTGCAGTTCATCTGTGTTGTTGAAGATGGCAGGATTTCCCTCTTTTTAAAGGCCAGCCAGTATTCCATTTTGTGTATGTTCTACCTTCCCAGGTTGTTCCCATATCTTGGCCATTCTGCCTAATGTTGCAGGCATTATATGGTTGCTTATGTGTGCATATGATGAGTTGTGTTTAAGTGTCTGTGTATTCATAAAAATTCCATTTATATTCTTAAACGTTTTTAATCATTTATTATTTGGCACAGGGTTTTTCCACATAGCTCAAACTTATAGTGATCCTCCTGTCTCAGCCTCCTCAGTGCTGGGATCACAGATGTGTGCCACCGTGCCCTGTTCTGGGGCTGGCAAAACATGCAGTACTGGAGATCGAACCCAGATCCTTGGGCTTGCTAGGCAGGTGCTTGTGCCGCTGAGCTATCTCCCCAGCCTCATTTATATCCTTCACAAAAGCACGCTGTCAATTTCTTGTTGGTGTGGAGTCAAATGATTTGCACATTTCTTTTATTCAATAGAATTTCATAAAACGCTATTTATGTCTTAGGCCTCATTCATATTAGGCAATTGAAAAGATACAGGTAAGTTAGTCATGGTCTAATTTAGTGGAGAAGAGAGGTGGGTACAGAGGTAATTACAGCCGAGCTGCGCTGTCCAACGTAAGAGCTCCCAGCTGTATTCTAGTGCACGAGGGCACTTGAGATGTAGCCAGCATCCCTGAGGGACTGATCTCACACTACATAATTTTTATTTCAATTTAAAGTAAAAAAAACTGATGCTTGATTCTGTTACTGAAAACTTTCAATTACCTTTGGAACAACCTAGGTATGTGAAGCCACTTTTTCAAGTGTAAATGTCATGAAGCCTAAAAATTATTTTTTAGGACAGCTTTAGTGTCTAAATTCATAACATGCGGGAAATTTAAAATATACATTCAGAGAGTCAATGTGAAAAATTGTATCATTAATTTTAGGATTGATTGTATGTGGAAATGATATTCTGATTTACCTGGTTAAATGAAATGTTGTTAAAATTTTCTAATTTCTTTTTATATATATAATTTAATGGGACTACTTGAAAGACGGGTGATGTGCATATTTTCCTTTGGCAACCTTTCTATTTGCCCTAAGAGTGATGTTTTGCAGGAACAGCTGGAGGTAAGCAGGTTGTGCTTATTATACATTGAGGAGTGAGGGAATTTCACAAAGGAGGTGATTTTGAGCGTGCTTAGGAAGAATTAACAGGAGATTTGGAGGCAGTGCAGGGGTTGGACCCTCCAGGGCGAGAGGGCAGCGTGCCGAACGCAAAATAATACATGACAAACTCTGGCCCAGCTGAAGAAAACCCTAGTTTTCTGTGGCTAGTGTACAGGACAAATGGGCTAACCGTGGGAGCGGAAGCTGGAAACGCAGATGACGGCCACCTTCTGAAGGCCTTACCTGGCGTGGGCTCTAGTCGGCGTGGCATGCTGGGGATCTGGGGATCGAACCCCAGTCCCTGCATCTGCCTACACAGGTGCTTTAATCCGCTGAGCTGTCTGGCCGGCCTCTACTTAAGGTTTTTAAGCAGAGGACTAGTAAGATCCACATCGTGTGTGAGGAAGAGCGCTCCAAAGTGAAGGCGGAAGGTGCCGTGGGTGGCGGGAGCTCTGCCCCGGGGCAGGGAGACACACATCCGGGAGGCTGAAGAGTTCGAGTGGGAGAGGATGGAAACCTTAACTAACGCAGTGTGGGTTGAGGTGGAGGGCCGGGGCTCGATTAGAAGGGCAGGAGCAGAGCTGGGAGGGGCATTATGCCACACAGTGTGGGAAGGAGATAGTGCGTGTCGGTGTAAGGCATGCGTTCTTGTGCAGTCTAGGTCCGCGCTGAACCGGGCTGCGCTTGGAAGTGTCCACCGGGTCAGGGACCCCGACTGCCTGGATGGCATTTTATATATATATATATATATATATATATATATATATATATATATATTCTGTAATTTTATTGAGAAATAAATAGCAATGAGGACAGTTTCAAATAGAATTGGTAGGACAGTTCCAATAATTAACAGATTGCATCCTCTCTTCCTAGTGGTTAATTGCTGTACAAGATGCAGACATGATATCCTATTTACAAACACTATTACAACAAACCCCTCTATTCATTAAGAGAATGTAGCTATATATCTATCCTAACCATTTTGAATACACAGATACAAAATGGCCATTCATCCGTATCCCCCTTTTTTGTTTAGTTCCATCATTTAAATATTATAGGTGTGTGAACTCAGCAAAATATTACAAAATAGTACAGTAGTCCATCATAGTATTGGGTCCTCCACTTGCTGGATGGCGTTTTAATATTTTAGACAACAGAGAATCTTACCATCTAAGACATCCTCATTGTATGGACTTAGTGTTCATCATAGAAGAGAGAAAACGTTCTTTTAAAGTACTTACCACAAGTACTTCGGCGGAGTATTTCACTAGCAGGAGACATGGCAGGTGAGCGATGCTCCCCGTAGGGCTGGCATGTTGCCGCTTGCTTCATCCCTCCCTCCTGACACTTTTGATGTCTGTGTTATTTGGGGCAACCGTGCGTTGTGGCAGCAGTGACACTGGGAAGCGAGTTCCTGAAGCCTTGAGTAGAATTGTTTTGTCTCCATTGTGCCATTACTCTTGCCTTAACTAGAAAGCACTTTCTCTGTGATGGCCTTTCAGTTTTAGAGATCCCTTGAATTGATGGAAATGGTTTGGTGTACGTCGGCTGGCAGTTGGCAACCAAGTAAGCCTGTCTGTCCCCAAATAGATAATGCTTCCCTGGGTGAAGCAGCGGCAATAAAAGCGAGATTCGTAAGAGCAGGAAGGACAGATGTCTGGGTGTGCACACTCTAGTGGAAAGGAGAGCGCTAAAAAAATTAAAATCCCTTGAAATAGCGTGGCCCTTGCATCACGAACTAATTCCGGACGGAGGCAGTTTCCCTTGAAGTCTGCAGCAGCTGTGCCGGCGTGTCCAGCGTGGTGGCACACGGTGGCCTTAGTACCTCAGGTGGGGCCAGGCATGGAAGGAGAAGAGCTGCTCAGCATGACGCTGAAATTTTGGATTCCGAGGCTAGGATACTTCTTTCCTTTTCCAAAAAAAGAGGTACAACTCCGTCCTCATTCAGGAAGAGGGATTTCTCCTGTGTGTCTGCTGAATGAATTAAAAATGTGTGTCCTTTATGACTGAATTAAAAATACTGAAAAGACAGTTAAGAAAAACATCCCTTTGTGTATTTCTTAGAATTTGAGGACAAGCGAGTATAGCATGGGAAAGGATTGGAAAGGGATCATCTTACTTGTCTACCAATGTATTTCTGCATAGGTAGATAAGAAATCCATGATCCTCACATGGTGTGGGTGAGCAGAATATGGTGCCTATGCACCACCTCTATCTCATGTCGTATCCCTGTCATCTTTTCATTTCTTCCTATGTTTTATTTTTCCTGTCTCTGTCTCTCTCTGCATCTCTGTCTCTGTCTCTCTCCCTGTCCCTCTCCCTCTCTCTGATCCCCCCTCTCATCCTCTCTCCATGTCTCTGTTACCTCTGTATTTGTCATTTTCCAATAACCCACCTAGTTACCTTGGGATCTTTGCTCTTTTACCTTCCTCTGCCTGATGTTCCCTGGGTATCATGTGGCTGGATCCTTTTCATTATCTAAGCCTCAGATACGTGTGTCTCTCTAGTCT